TGCAGTGCTGCCAGCCAAATTTTATAAATATTATATATGTATACTCCTTTGGATATAGCCGTCGCATTAGGTTAACATCAACTGTGCTTAGTTGCCATGCGCTGTAGTTGATTTATGTAGCATTGTCCAGGGCCAGCATCTTCGCGATCATCAGCACTTCATATCAGCTCCTGGTGTTGCTAATACGCATGTTCCAGTTGGCGTCGTTGTACAAGCGCAAACAACTGCTTATATAAACTTCTTTAATTCTTCCACATATGTCTGTGCATGCAACATTTGTACATATCTTTAGCGTTACTTCATTACTGTCGCTCAATAGTAAAATTGCAACACGGTCACCTTCCCTCTGCATGCTTCGCATAACGTCGATTCCCAGCTACGTAGGATCTGCCGAATTTTTTATGAGGAAAGAACACATTTGAACTTCATTTGTTACACCGTTGCAGCAGAAGTCATAATTACCGCTCTTACCTTTTTCACTAAATTACCGGAATGATCAAAGGACGACGGCGGGAAAAAGCGATTGAGAAAGTAAACAGTGGCCAAGGTTAGTCAAATAATGCAATTTATGCATTTCGTGTTTTACAAGTGGCTCCAAGTTTTGGCTATTGACATGCCACGAATTGTTTCTAGTGTCATGTCTTGCATCCTGGGGCACCTGCCTAATAGCCACTATTGTTTACTCTGGGTCAAACTGGGCAATATTTAATCAAATGTACGAGTTTAGCTACGTAGTGCAACATCAGGCTTGTTTACCAAAGTTGTTTCACAGTATTGTGACGAACAAATAAATGCCGGAAGCTAGAACAACTTTTTATTTATGGCGAACTTGTGCCCGTCAACTAAATACACAAAGGTTGTCCTGAACGCACTAGTAAAAAACCTCGTCAACGTCTTCTTTATGCGTCTCGCCGCGTGCCGCTCCTTCGAAAAAACTCCCAAGCATTTCCCCGAGGGTGAACATGGTTAAGTGCGAATACACGGGGTGATGCTATGAGGGGTATTTATTAATTCGCACTATTATATTTATTATTCACACTATGGTGCCTTTATGGTGTAATGGTTCCTGGGAATCGCAATTTGATCACATGGGGGAGTTTACGTTAACTCACTGGCGAATGCCCACGGATTTTAACTTTACTCCCCCTCACGACCCGCTCTCGACGGGAGACTGAGAGAGAAGGCGGGCACGCGAGAGAGAGGGGTGCGCGCGCAGCTGCAGCGAGCGAGGAGAGCGGAGGAGCGACACCGATATCAGCGTCGCGTCCGTGGCTTATTCGGTAGAGCGTCGCGCTGTGGCCCGCCAAGTCCTCTTTCTTTTAAAGATAGAGAGAAGACTGCGGACGCTGCCGACGGCGGTGGATGGTTTGGGGTCGCTTATAAAGTGTATTCACACTTAAAACCACCAGCCTTCTTTTTCCAGCACGTGGAGTTGTGACACGTGCAGCCAGCGTTGCATGGTGCATTTAGCTTGGCGCGTTTGGCTTGTCAGTTAGTGTGGCAGAATTCATAAGAGCAGGAAGCAGCGCAAGACTTGGGTAGGTGCCTAACAACATGCGGCAATATTCTTTAAGGATGATGTAATAGGAGTAATAAGGACGATGGGTGCGTAGATAACTCATATATATAGGTGTCGCTTGTCGAAATCCCCCCCTCTTTTGTTCCTTTGTGGTTGTGTGTTATTTTCAGTCCAGTTTATCAGATAATTAGCCTATATCGAATACCCTACTTCTGATTAGTTAAACGTAGATTTGCGTGATACGATTTAACCCTTGTATTATGGCGCGAAACGCAAGAACAAGCTGCTTGCGACGAGACATATTTTGCATTATCTATAACAGCATGAAACCATATAATAAGCGGGAGGAATAGATGGCAAAAAAATATCTAGAAGAAGTGAGCTGAAATATTGCCTCAGAGATATCCCATTGGTGCCTTGAAGATAACTCCTATAATCCACTTAGAGGCAAATTATTTGGATGTTACGCAGCTATTATAACATAGCACATTCCCAGCCAGTCATTCGGTAATTGAAAAGTTCAATTATTTTCCGTTCTTAATTAGGGTAAGGGGAATGAAACAAGAAAGACAGCTAGGAAAATTTGTGGAAGTGTACACAAGCGCTTATGACACAATGCTTTCAGTTCACTTTTTGTCATATGAGAATGACTGCTTTCTGACTTTCTTTTTTGTGATAAGCTTGGTTGCGCACCTCTTGAAGCTTTTTATCCCATAAAAACATCCTATTGTCTCCACTAACGTGGCCTCAAAGTGGCACTCGCTTCACTGCGCGAACGAAATAGACGGGACTGCCCTAACAAACGTATACGCCCACGTCTTTAGCGGAGCGAAACCTCCCTAACTTCGTTTTTCGCTTTTGGCATCTTTCAGTCATTTTCCGTGCAGCACTGTTCGTCTTCTTTTGGTTTCAATTGAAGCTTGTCTACACGTGCGTGACAAATCGACTCGCTCACTTGCTCGGACTCGGCGATCCGCAAAGGCCAGTGGATTCCTTGGTTTAGAACCGCTCAGCTTTCAATCACTTTCAAGCAATAAACGTCCACTGTTGCTGCTACTGCTTGCAACCGAATGCATGCTCCAGAAGACGTGTTTCGAGTTCGCACAGACGTGCTGCTTTTGCAACAAGATAACGCAAACTATTTCTTCGAACATCACACTGTCTTCGGTGCAATCCATCTTTGACTGTTCCGGCTATTTGTATATCGAATGTGGCTAACGTGACCCTCAATTTCCAATAAAACATCCATAACTTTTGTCGAATATTAAAGTTAACCGCAAACTAAATACACATGAGAAATGTATGCGACGACGTGTCTATAAATGACGCTTCTTTCAGAAGTAATACAGCTTATTTGCCCTCTTTTTACCTTAATTTCAGATTTTTCGTTGAGTCATTTTTGCGGCATACACTGGACACTCTGTCAGCGTAGGCGTAAGCCGGGAACATGGAACACAGACACCAATTATTTGTGGCAGTGGCCATGAATACAGCTAGATTTACTGCATACACATGCAGGTGACGTCACGTGCACCCAATACATTTTACGCTGTTTAAACAAGAGGAATACGTACCACTTGTCATAGTCGGTGTTATTAATGTAGCAGCCCAACGCTGACAAACGTGCTGCAAGCACCCGATAGACAGCAGCCACAGGGTACAATGTGTAAGTAAATGTATTACATCAACGCCTATCATCTATTGTACTGGTTCTGCTTGTCTTGCGCGAATCATGGTGGTCACTGTCCTGTGTATCGGCTTTTCGATTTATTAAGCATTATATATCTGCTTCTATGACTCAGCAAGCTGTAGCGTAGCGTTGCTCTTCAACGCATGAATGTCTAAAGAAACGTTTGGTTACGGCCCTTCATTTTGAAAAATGTATATCTGCGCTATAATGCGAATTCCGACGCTACTTTTAACGATGATCCACACACGTTAATGTATGGTCAACGTGCTAGATGAACCACAATGTGCACACAACAACTGAGTTTAAAAGAGAATGTCCATCCACCTCATACGGCTTGGCTGAAGGCCAAGAAAACACACGTTAATGTATGGTAAACGTGCTAGATGAACCACAATGTGGACACAACAACTGAGTTTAAAGGAGAATGTCGATCCACCTCATACGGCTTGGCTGAAAGCCAAGAAAAATCCTGCATATGCTGGCTGAATCTTCCGAAAGAAACCATTCTCACTCACACAATGCTTACGATCTGCCGCCATTTTTGTTACTTTACCTTTTGGACATATAATTTTTTATCCTATAATGACAAAACGCACATCCCCGACAGACGTGAAGTTTAGGCGATAACGGCAAAGGATGCAAAAGGCTTAACTGATCGCACCATGGCGTCGCGGCTTAAGGCAAATGCACGAACACCACAACTAGGGAGGGAAAAAAAAGTGATGCAGTGAAGTTACACTGTTGTCGGAACCGCATAATCATAAACGCACCAAAAAAAAAAAAATTCCAAGTGGCATGAAAGTTTTAATATTGCAACAAATCTGCACTATGTGTAGTTCTAATACGTCGTTTTTTTGTCAGCAATGCGTTATTCGTGCGCGCGTCCTTATTCAAACCTCTTATGAGAGCATTGCATTGATGTATGCCGCATATATGCTGTGTAATTTCTACTTCCGATTTCAACGTAATACACTGACGCTTTTAGTGAATTTGTTATTAGTATTTAAACTATTTCAAATTATTTCCCATTTCTTGTACGCCACACTGTATACATAGACTTCGCTTAGTACAGAGATCGATGTGAAATAATCAGCACTGTAAAGCTCCGTGCGGCTGACCTTCATCTGGAGCAGGCAAAAAGTGCTCTATAATACAAACATTCGTGCTTTTAGGGTTTAGTGAAACGGACGATAAAAATAAATACAAAATGCGCACGTTGGAGGAAGAAGGGTCATCCGTGTTAATGAGAAAATGAACTGCATGTTTGGCCAGCACTTAGAGAGCTTTGAATGAGCAAATACCTCAGCGTATATACACGCTAATCACAGGCTGATCTTGTCTTACTTTTTTTTCTCTCTTTCTCCCTATTTGCACTTTCAGTCCCCAATCTCCTTCTCCACGCAGAGTAGCCAGACAGCAATTCATTTATGCCGAGTGAATTCCCTGCTTTTCAATTAGGAGTTGTCTCTTGTTACAGGCTGACAGGGGAACCATTTTTTTACGCTTACCCGATTTAATCATTTCTTTCCTCTCGTTAATAGTGTGCTTCTAGTAGGACTTATATAACCTAACGTAGTGTGGGAAATGCCAGAAGTTGTTATAGAACCTACTTACTGCGTGACGCAAACAACCGGGACCCAGCGGACCACGCGCTGTCCGAACGCTCTGTCTTTACGCGCGCGCTTCCCACGCCCTGCAATAGGAATCAACTTATCCAACGTAGCGCCCCTTTTGGCTCTTCTTCGTGGGAAGTCGACTCCCCTTTCCCTTCTTTTCCCATTACGGCTTCAGGCGCTGGCTGCGCGGACCGCCCTCGCCCCTGCGTGCCGGGCTGCCCCGCCGGGGCGCGCTGCGATCCCCTGACGGGCCAGTGCTCGTGCCTGCGCGGAACGGTGCCAGTGTTTGTCGGACCCGAGACTGGCGCGTCGCTCCCGTCTCCTCCGAGCGAGACCTTGCCGACCGGTGGCGCTGCTGGCGGTGGTGGTGTTGTCGTCCTCGGTGGTTCTGGTGGTGCTGCAGGCGGCACGCTGCTGGCACGCTGCGAGCCCATCCGTGCCACGATGGACGGCGCGGGACACGCCTCCGACAACCACACTGCCGCCGCGGCCGGGGACATCCTGCTCAAGTACTACCCTGGTGAGTGAACGCTCACATCGGCACGTGACGTGCTGTTAATGTTCTATATTTGTGTCTGAAATTCGGGAAGTGAGATGGGGGTGACCGACCTCCGCTATACCGAAAGTTTGTGTTTGAGAGTGGCCATTATAACGAAGTCGGGAGAGATTACTGCTAATGCTTGTGTGAAATTCTTGTGTGGAAAGAGGCTGATAGAAAGAGAGGTGGACGATGCTCCGCTATAGTGAAGTTTCGTGTTTGAGAGTAACCATTGCAGCGAATTTCGGTGACATCATTTTACCGAAAATTCGTGAACGTTTCCCTCACCATAACCGGGAAAGCAGCTTCACGTGCATCAGTCAAGTGTCACTTGCGTCCAACCTGCGTCACTCTGTGTCCCGAAGTTATCAAATGCGAAAGTTGGCTGCACATGCGCGGAAGGTGTGATACACAGATTCATTTTTCGCCACCGGCGAATGTCTCGTCGAAGATGCCGTGAGCTAAACTGCGAACCTTTTCATGACCCATCTGGGGCTTTTCGAGCGGTGAAAGTATTTTACGGCAATAGTCTCATCACAAATACCTGCCGCTGATGTGACTAATTTAGTGAGCTTGGTCAGTGCTGTGCAACACAATATTCTTTATTCACCTTCTATTACAATTTTCCTTATTAGCAGTGTTATACCATAGTATGATACAAGTATTTCTTATCAATTCTTCAGTCTCCTATAATTTTCAGATAACACTCGTCACGTTGCGATATTCATAGAGTTTAAGCTATGAACTGTGAAGTGACTGGTGCCACCGACGTGCCTGATCGCCGCTTAAATATGCTTGCGTTACAGCAGAGCACCTTATGTACTTTATATGTCGCGCATTATTACAGCGAAAGCTGTTACAAGATCAGAACATGGGTCACGCGTGGCGCCGTAGTTGTGCTCTGCCGCCCGTGTCCGTAACAAGTATCGAGAAAAAAAAAACTTGGTAAATAAAAAGATACCAAGGACACAGTGAGGCTCCAACCCGGGTCCGCTGCGTGCCAGCTTAGTACTCTACCACTGAATCACGCCGGTGCTTGGAAATTCGTCACAAACTTGTCTTGGCAGCCTTGATGTCGGGAAAAAAACTGCGTTAATATGAGTAATAAAGTGTTTTAGAACAGCGAAGGGACCATGCGTCAGATTTTGCGAATAGCGTAACGAGTGGCTCGTCAAATACTACAATCCATTACAGAAGCTTGTTCTTGATCAGGCTGAAAACATAAATTTGTTTTGTTTTTGAGCCATGCTATTGTCTATGCATTGTGACACCGAATCAAGAATAGAGACAACTATAGCTTTTTTGGCCGAACTTGTTTCTTTTTTTAAGTAATTATATCGACATCGGAGACTTGCTGTGCTAAAGCAACATGAAGCTTTAATCACTGTCGTGTGGAAACTTTTTGAGGTACCTCAAAGTAAACCAAAAATATAGAACTTACTTGAGTTTTTCTACTATGATTTTTTTATTTGAAACAACATGTAGTACGTCTAGTGAATAAAGTGTTTTATTGATTTTCAAGGAAAAGCTGTTTGTTATGGAATGAACGGCAGCCTTCAAGACATGAAATTTTTTTTTAGTTAGCATATTTTCTACACGACTTCGAAAACCGCTCAACTACAATATATGAATGCCCAGCCATTGTTAACCAATTAGTGACGTAGCGTTGGGGCACTAAAATTCGTTAAGCTCGCTTTTTCTGAAGATCGAATTTCCGTTTGCTAAGATGTTCTTACGAAGTACTTCCTCTTGAAAAATTCGTGCTAATCGGGCCAAAGACGCCAAGTGACCCGCCGTCGCACCACTCCAAACCCATTTGCACCAACAGCCAACACGACCCAGAATGATTAGTGTTGGTAAAGCTGCCCGCTCGAAGTGAAGTGGGGCGCGCAAAGAGGGCACTTAAGGTTAAGCGTGGTTCGTGCTTTGTACAAGTGACGATGCTGTGACTTGACGTGCGAGCAGCCTATTCTGAGAAATTTGACATATATGCCACTACTGCTGCGCAAAATCAAACAGCAGAAAAATTAGTACTGTGATTTCAGTCTAGTTGAGAGGCTATTTTAAATTCTGGAAAGTTAACAGCCCACGTGGCAGTGCTAAGCTCAAATGAATTTCTATGTGCGAGATAACTAGTTATCGTCGTACTTTCGCCTAACTCGATGATTACACTGCGTTGCTAGGACACTTTCGTTTTTTAAATTGCTTAATGCAATCCCTTAGTCAGGTTCTCGTCATCTGCCTAGACCGGAAACTGAACACCTACGAATGCTGGTCAAATCTGAGTGATGGCAAAGACAAACATAAGAGTGATGGAGTGAGTGAGAGAGAGAGAGAGAGAGAGAGTGAGTGAGTAAGAGAAAGTAAGAGTGAGTGAGTTTATTAGTTAGATAGTTAGTTATTTAGTTAGTTATTTAGCTAGTTAGCTATTCAGTTAGTTAGTTGATTAGTTAGTTGGTTGGGTAGTTAGTTAGTTTGTTAGTTAGTTAGTTAGTTATTTAGTTATTTAGTTAGCTAGTTAGTTATTTAGTTAGTTAGTTAGTTAGTTGTTTAGTTAGTTAGTTAGTTAGTTAGTTAGTTAGTTAGTTAGTTAGTTAGTTGATTAGTTAGTTGGTTGGGTAGTTAGTTAGTTTGTTAGCTAGTTAGTTAGTTATTTAGTTATTTAGTTAGTTAGTTAGTTAGTTAGTTAGTTAGTTAGTTAGTTAGTTAGTTAGTTAGTTAGTTAGTTAGTTAGTTAGTTAGTTAGTGACGTCAACTTTACGCACACTTGCATCGAAAAAACACGAATGTGAAAACGCTCTGATAACTGTATTGAAACCCCGACTTTATTACCAAGTGCAGATGCTTTAAGTTGCTATAATTACTATGCAATGAACGCATGCTTCCCTACACGGGTTATGACTGCTCTAAATGTGTATCGTATTTTAGCTTGCGCGCTGACTTGGTATTGTGGAGCGGCCATGTTGTCGGAAATGTATGGTGCTCATAGGTATACAATGCTGCACACATTTACTTGGCAAACACCGATAATTATTTTGCATTGAAAATGGTTTGTGTTGTTCGCAAGCACGTCCTATAAATTTATTAGCTGTTTTTCGAATCCCTGACTGTTTCATGTTGCTTTGAAATTTTTTAGTAATTCATTTCAGATTTTTTTCTTCTTCAGTCCTCTTCTGAGTACCCATTCAAATATCTAAGCACAATGAATACAAAGAACGTCATAGGCAGTATATGGGCGCCAACAGTGTTTTTTTTTCTTTTTCTTGTTCCTATTATTTAATCCAAGATGGTTGCATAAGCATGTGCGACGAACTAACTCCTACCAAGTCTTCGTTACGTATCTATTTTGAATATCGCGAACGTAATAGGGTATAGATCAATGTATTCAAAAACCCTTATCGCTCTGTCAGCCATATTTTTCTTCATATTCACGTGAAATTATGCTTATAACAAAAAGCACGCCCATGGGGTAGCGCCTTTTTTGCTGTCAGATGTTTAAGTCGTTATTGTATTTGTGTCACGTCAAAGCACAATAGTTTTGTAGAAAATACATATAAAAGGAAGGGGACAAATAATTGTTTTTGTAAAAGAATATCTAATGTGGTCGCACGGAATCGTTCCAAGAAACATTTCTGAATCAAGTTCACTGTCAAGGTCGTCGCTTATTACAGTCGCACTCGGCAATTATCTAAAGACTGAATCAAGAAATGTCGCTGCGTGCTGGTTAGTGCTGGTAACGCTATCTTCTAGGCCCACGTGTGGAAGAAAGAACACATCATACTTTTGCTCCGCCGCGGTGGTCTAGTGGCTAAGGTACTCGGCTGCCGACCCGCAGGTCGCGGGATCAAATCCCGGCTGCGGCGGCTGCATTTCCGATGGAGGCGGAAATCGTGTAGGCCCGTGTACTCAGATTTGGGTGCATGTTAAAGAACCTCAGGGGGTCAAAATTTCCGGAGCTCTCCACTACGGCGTCTCTCATAATCAAATAGTGGTTTTGGGACGTTAAACCCCACAAATCAATCAACACATCATGCTTCATGTGTAGTTGCACACAACTTGGTACATGCATGCCATAGCGCTGTTTTTAAATACACAATGGTGTTAAAACAAGTCGCGAAGTATATGAGTGAAAACTGAAATGACGCTTATTATTTCTTCTGAAAGCTTCGTTCGCGCCTCAGTTATGAAAATTACTCCAAAGTGCCAGGCGAGATGCATGGTTTTGTGGACCACGTTTGCGGAAACATTTTTGGGCACCGATGGCTCTGTAATTTACTAGCGAGCACGCTCTTCTTCTCGGCATTTGGACGTCTTATGTTCGCTGCTATAGCACCAATTAAGCAGAGACTATGCTAGATACGGCAAAGCTTGTTACCAAAGATGCGTTTGCTTGAAAATTTGAGTTGCGATTGCGAAAGCACGGATGATGCAGTACATCCGAAGTATAAGGTTCCGACTTCTTGCTTTCTCGCCTAATTACCAGGGACGCGCTGAAAGAAGCAAATAATATAAGATTTTATCATCAGCGAAGAAGGTCAATGTGCATTAGGTGACGTCATGTGACGTGTCGAGTGCTGCCACGCCATTCCAGAAGAAAAGTGTAACGTAAAAAGAAGAGATGTTGGGACGCAAAAGTAAAGATGTGGCTTTACAAGTAGACTGTCATGAGTTCGTTTCTCGCACTATGGAAGAAAAAAGAAACAAAGCAAGGAATTTAAAAAAGCAGCCATCGTTTTTTTTTTTTTTTTGCTCGTTTCACTCGGTTGCTTTATTAGGGCTGCGGGGACCGTGTGCTCATGTTTGGGTGCCCGTTAAAGAACGTGCACCCAAATATGATGGTCTTGGGACGTTAAACCCTACATATCATATATATATATATATATATATATATATATATATATATATATATATATATATATATATATATATATATATATATATATATATATATATATATATATATATATATATATATATATATA